TTTATTGTTAGTTTATTGGTTAGATAGGTTATTTATAGATAGATATTCGTCACCCATTATTTCTCACCTTTACAACGAACGCAAAACTCGAGTGGAACCATACACTACGTTCTACTACGTTCCTGGTAAAACTTGTCAAAAAAGCTGCGCAACATATATATAGTGATTTTTATTTTGAATTTTAAACACTGCTGCCACCAACATGACCTATATTTTTGAAGACCTTTCTGGTTGATTCCTGTTCTGTTACTTCTTTTACATAAAATTAGTAAATTTAACTTTTTATTTGAATATACTCCGATTTATCACAAATTAATAACTGAAAGAAATTCTCATTTTACTAAAAAGGCAGAGCAAGGTATCACTGAAATTAGCACGATCATGTACTACTGAGGTTCGGATTCCTTTTGCCGATTTACTTCATCATGCAATAGTACAAATAGTTATTTATAAACTAGAATAAGTATCCATGAATGAATGAAACCTTAGAAATTCTAGAGTTTTCAAGACCCGCTCTAATCAGATTTTTAAATTTTACTAAGCAAAATTTCCACATTCTTCGATTTGCCACATGGTATATGGAAATCATTTTCCACATCTTTTTGAAAACAACTGTAACAAATAAACTGTAAGCTAACTAGCTTCCTGCAGCGATGCTAAGTGTTTAAACATATATATATGATGTTTTTAGTCTTATTCTCTACTCTACCATAAAAAGTGGGTAAATTTACAATAATGTCTGCTACAAATGATATGGATAGTTTTCAGGAAAGGAAATATACGCTTTTTAAGCTGAAAACAACGTTTAAAAAATTAGAAAGTTTAAAATCAATGACTTTCAGACGTTCAATTATTTGTGCTTTCATTTGGGCTGTGTCACTTGCGCTTGGTATTTTTCTTCTAATTACGAAAGAAAATAATATGAATATTAAGAGCATTATTTCTACTTTCTTGCTTGGAGCAGGAAGCATAGGGACTCTAGTTAGTAGTTTTTTATCTTTTATAAAACTTTTTCCTATAAAGAAGTTGGACACCAAAGAAAATTTCGATGACACACTTGTTAAAATTTCAGTGCATGAATATAAAGTAGATTCATGTGAAACAGTATTAGATTCAAAACAATTAGAATTTATAGCAAAATATAGTGCGGAAGGACTATGTAAGAAAATTAGTAATGAAATAATGGAGAAAATGAGTCCATTTGGCTTAGCTTTAAATTTTCTTGAAAAACTTATTAACAATTTGCGTTGGATGAATATTTTGCAAATTATATATATATCTATTATGGCAACTGTCATTCTTGTTTTTTCCATTATTTCTATCTTTTTTATATATAATGATTCTGGGATAGAAGTTGTAAAAATTTCTCTTATTATTCTTATCAGTTTTTCTTCTTTCTGTATATGGTTTGATATTGGTTTCATTACTTATATTAAATTAATTACCCCTTGGTTAGGTAAACAATGGAGTGAGAATAGTAAATGTTTTATCTTTACATCAATTCCCTTAGATTGCCTTTTTAAAGCAAGTAAAAGTCTGAAATATATAGGAATAATATATTTTATATTCTTTAGTCCTGTTCTCATTTCAATAGGGTTGATGTCGATATCACAAGATAAAGTTTCTCTGAATAGGATTTTTCTAAACAAAACAGAAATGGAAAATATCTCTCGCCTTCTATTTGGTTTAAAAATTATGCGTGAATGTAACAACAGTAAATGAATTTAAGTGTTTATCCATTTTTAGGAGGACTAACGAAAATAAATTCACAATTATATAGGAGTTTTATACATTTAAGAATAAGGAATCTGATCAAAATGAAATGGTTACAGCCAGACAGTCATTAATATTTGTTCAAAACAAAACTTTTTGATGTGAAGTTTTAAAATTTTATATATTACCTTTAAAAAAAATTTTGCTTCTATTATAAGTTTTAATTTTTATTAGTAAATTAATAATGAAGTTGTTATTCTTTATATAAACTATAAACTATCTAAACCATCTAAACCATCTAAACGTTTTTGATTAGTTACCTGCACATTATGATATTTGTCGATCATCTGAAATCTATACTGTAATAGGTAGTTATTACGATATCTTTGAAATCTGTAACTATTGCGACATATATAAATTAAAAATCATGTGGAGCATATAAATTACTATTTGGATTTAAAAGATACTCAAATCGACATTTTGACCATCCGTGTTATGTTGATAACTATCGCGACATTCTCATTTATCTGTATGATTATCAATCTGAAATTAAAATACAATATTCCTAATCTAAATGTAGAAATGTCATCATGAATTCGTAATTGATCCGTGAATTAATAATCGATATGTGAAAATTGAGACATTGCACCAGTATGACATCTTAACTATGATATGTATAGTCTCCTGCATAATAATGTGATAACTTTGTTACCATCTATTTATAATTTTAGAGTCCTGCAAAGGCAAAAAATTAATTTCTAAAATTTCATTATTAAAAAAAAAAAACAAGATTTTAGCTTTTTGCTTTATTAGCGTTTATTAATAAAACCAACTCTGAATAATAAGTTTATAACAAGATTTTTTACAGTAGCTTATAATACTGTTATTTTAATACAAACTAACGCAACTAATTACTAGAGTAGCGAATGAGTTTTGTAACTGAATCTTTAGAAACCACAATAATTTTGGTATAAAGTAACTCATCTTTAAAATACATGCTTTGGTTATTGGGATAAAGAGTAAATTCTGTAGCAAAATTCTTTATTGTTATAATAGAAATCATGATAATTAGGGTTCGGGTCCCATAGCTTAGTTGTTAAGCTCCCGTTCCCCACAGACAAGGTCAATGGTTTGATTGGCTTGAGGTAAAATTACTCTATAACCAAAAATTGGAGTCCATAATCTGATATGAAGCCCTATGGAAGTTACATACTGAATTAAGGAATTCTTGAAAGAAACTGGTATGGCAGAGAGTGGGCACTACTATAGTAAGAAATGTGGTGAATATTGTCGATGTTTGTGGAAAAGATTGGCCTTAACCAATATGGAATCACCTATAGTGCAAAAAATCTGCATAGTTAGGTGGGGCTGTGGGAGCTACTTCTAATTTGGTAGAGTTTCAGTTAGTGTGTGGTCACCAAAATAACAAATAAGCTTTGTAACAAAATTTTGTATGATAGAAATTACAATAAATCTAGTACAAACTAATATATATACTGTGTGGTCACTAAAATGGCAAATAGGTCTGTATTAGGGTGTAGCGACCTAGTGTAGTAAAGTCGTTGCACCTCCAAGCCAGCTTGTAACTAAGAAACCAAGTTTGAATCCTACTAGAGTATTTTAACTCGGGACTATATCTCAAAAACGTACTAAGTAAATGGGATTGGGTATTCTAAGTAAAAATTTATATCAAATCTAAATTATGTTACATAAAACTCTCGTTTATCTTAAAACTGCATCCTAGCCCTAAAAATTCTTGGGCCGGTGAATTTCATCTCTTGTTAAATTTAATTTATTTTATTATACAAACTATTTGCTTGAATATTACAAATTTATAAATTTTAAAAAAGATTACATTTTCACTTATACCGTTCACTACAAGATAATCACTTTCAACAAATTAACCACTTTTTTTTTTAATAAAAACATCTTTGATACATCGATTTTATATAAAGTGATCTAGGTCATTTCAAAAAAAGTGAAATTTGTCAACATTCATTTCATGAATATTCTATATTTTATAGCCTTAAAATAAAATGCACATTTAGAGCTTAAACTTATTTGAAGTAAGAATAAAAATGGTTATAGCTTGTAGTTTGATACGATACGAATCCTTTAATTAATATATTGATAATAATCGTTACACTTAGAAAACGAGTTTTAAAAGCAAAATAATTATTTTAAGTGATGCTTATTTTTAATAGTAGTACGATCATTTATTATTATACGTATTGAAGGAGAGAAATCAATGGGAATCCTTCTTTATTCATTCAGTAAGGAACCAAGGCTTTAAACTACAATCCATGGTTTTGCCATATGAACTATTAATGCATAAGCCATAAACTAAAAAGTTGCTTGCATTACTGAACCTTGGTAAATGTGAAAAATCAAAGATTTATATAAATTAAGTAAACGTATATATAGCATGAATTATATCTAAATTAATTGAGATCATCCCGATTTGTTACATCTGTACATTAATACGACTTGCAAAACATAATTCTATAGTATTATCAATCATTCAGGTGAGTCCATTGAGGTACTTGAGAACGCCTAATATAATACTACAAATCATTAACTGCTAATGTTATCTCCATTTAAATATTGCCTACTAAAATTAAATCGGAATTAGATTTTACGAAATGTTAAATAGCATATTTCAAAATAAAAAGTTTAACATTTGGAGTTTATTTATTTTAAATTTGTTTATTACCCTTTTGACTATCTGTGAATTGTCATATAGTGCTCTTTATACTTGGTTTATCAGACTGATGTTTAAATCAATAACACAACTGATGCCAGGTTTCTTGGGTGGTAATTATGCTGGTGACAACCAATCGAATCTTATATCTCAATTTAATGAAACCATTTAATACTAGTTCAACTCCCTGGATTAACAGTTCAATAAAAATTCCAGTAGCAATACAACAGAGCACTTCTTGCATTAGTTCTTTATTAATATTTTTAATTGGTGGAGAAATGTGTGATCCAATATTGCAAAATCTTACTTTTCTTCTTCATTTTATATGCTAAATTTGGATTACTCACAATGGACAATCCCAAATATTACTGGAGTAAATAAAAATTTTTTGGGACATCAAAATTTAAAGGCTATTATTGATGATAACGGAATGATATTTTTATATGGTGGAATTAACCTAACTGTCCATATTTCGACTGATGGGACTGTTTATGGTAATATGAACATTATTGACACAAATACAATGACTTGGTTAACTTTGCCAATTCAAAATACGCCAAGAACAGGTTATACTGCAACTTTATTAAAAAACAAATGCATTATTTATATTGGTGGTAAAATAGATAGTGGTTATACTAATTATAATAATATGAATGAGGTTTGTGAAATGTTCAGTTCTCTTTTAGTCAACTAAACTTTAACAAACTAACTTAAATAAAAACGCATAGATTCATATATTTAATACAACATCGCTTAGTTGGTCTCAAATGGTATGTTATGTGATTTATATGATTAACATTATATTAAATTAGTAACATTTATTTATTCTAAAATGCTAGCTATTGGAAATGAAATCTCCAGCCGAGCTGGGCATTCAGCTGTTTTAAGTATGTTTATTATATATTATAATATTTTTTAAAAAAAATTTATTACTTACATATGATATACTTACATTTCATATATTAGCACAAAATGAAACTATTATTATATATGGTGGTGGAACCACAGCCAATTTTATTCCATCGTATCCGGGTTTTGCAACTTTAGATACAACTGTTAACCCAATGCGATGGACCAATCTGGAAAATATATTAAGTACAAATTCCCCACCACCTCTTAGATATCATTCTGCAACATTATTTAATAATTTTATGATAATTGCATGGGGTATTTATTAACAATTAATTTATTGATAATTATAGAGAATAATAATCATACTGTATTATTCTAATGATAGATTATTCTCTGTAATAACAAATTTAAATAATTTTATATTATTAGGTCAGGTGCCAAATAGCCCAGCTTGGCTAAGTGATGCAGTTTATATCTATGATATTTTAAGTAATAACTGGGTAACAACTATGGATAGAAGTTTAAACAACTCTCATAATGATAAGATAATTGTTGCTTGTATTATAGCGGGTGTATTTATCTTTATCATTATTTTAGGATTTTTAATTTACATAATATATAAAAAAAAACCAAAAATGATGTATTTCTTAAACGCATGGCAGCTTAAGGAAATTTTTTTATATTTATGTTGTATTTTTTTTAACCATATAACTGCGTATTCGATTACATTTAGCAGGCGCACGATTTGTCACGCAGATCAGGTGGGTAAATTTTTTATTATGAAATTTGAGTGATCGACATTCATATGAT